AGATCTAATATAGTATGTTTTGGATCTTCAGGTCATTATAAATAAAAAGCATTAAAACTAATGTTTTAATTCTTACTGAGGTAAAACTCGCGGTTAAATGTAAGAGTGACAATGGGTATATACGTTCTGTCAACCTAATACCAATTTAATTAACATTCAAAAGGCATTTCATTTAGAGTAAATAACGGTTCGTTTATTTATTTTAGATCTTTTTACAATTACTATTATTAGATAATAATTTATTAACATGGTTATATTCATTAATTACATATTTTACTATTATCTAGTAGGAGTAGTGAGTAGTATTCACAAACACAGGAAAGACTGCCCCACTCACAAATTTTGTACAAAGGGTCTTTTAAGATTTCCTTGAAACCATCATGGTGCGGAGAAAAACCGTCAATATGAATGGTATCAAAAATAACGCGCATTGGTAACGAGAATTTGGTCACAGAAGAAGCATGGTACCATCATTTCTGACAAAAGGAATCGCGCACGCCGACAGGAAGTAAAGGAATTTCGCCTAGCGACCAACATTGATGAGATCACACAGTTGGTACTTGTATACACTTACCTTGATATCATCGTTGATGAATGCCACTCTATTATTTGATGGGAGAATACATGGAAATTAGAGACACGATACAGCACAGTATAATAGTGTTTCCTTCAAAAGTATGGAAAAGACATATTGATAACAGATAGCAAACAGAACATCTGTTGTACATTTTCGACATCTTGAGTACAAAATATTAAATGACTAGGTACTGTTATCGAAACACGAACTATACGGACGTCTCAGAATCTTTAAAACAGCCGCTGACCCATTCCCAGGTGTATTAAATAAAGAAAAACCTTCCAGCAAACAATTTATTATATAATGTTGAATCGATCATCCCAAATTCGTTGCCTTTATTTGTCATAAAACTCAAGAACGGTGCAATTGACTCACGAAAGAAAGAAATATATAACGTGGGCACAAGCCGTTGTATAGGCATTAACACTTTAGTACTTTTATCTCTTCTCTTTTGAAAGGATTTATCGCATATGTATGCAAGAAGTATGGATCAAAGCTCCTTGTTGATATATTATTTGCGGTTGGATTCGTTTAATCGAACTTTAAAAGATCATTACTTGAAAGTCTGTTAAACAAGTACTCAAAACTAAATAATGAAAAATTCTGTCAGTTCATGTTTGACAAGCTACAGATCATAATGTGAACACATTGGACAGTCTAATCGCTAGTACGTTTCATGCCGTTTGAGGAATAATGACAATAATTCTCCATTCTGCAATCGAGCTTCTTCTACAACCAAATAATTTTCAGGAACGCTAGTTATTTGCCGATCCCATTCATATTGAAGACATTAATCTTTGATGATATAAAAAAAACAAAAAAAACTTCATAACCTGTGAACACAAGTTCTGTGTGTATGGGACAATGGGACCTTTTTGTGATACCATAAATCCAGCCGTATTCTCTTTCCCACCGAGGAAAAAATATGTTTTAAAATCGTAATATCTATTATGGGATCTAAGAACTGTTCATTTACTTGGCTGAGACGGCACACTTTCCTTTCGAGTTGTTACAGAAATCAATTTTAGATTAATATACTTCGCAAGAATTTCTTTTGTTTTCTTGGCTACCAAAAGTTTTCCCGAAGTATTTCGAGGTGAAAAAAATTGAGGTTTTCTTACTAACGGAAATATAAACAAAATTTTACAAAATAAAATCTTCTACCTCACCTCTTGCATGGTGGACCCCATATGGCTCCCCATCGACTGCACTAATCGGTGGAATGAGAGGTTTTGCGAGGCATTGCGCACTGCACTCGACTGCAATCTCGATCTTCTACGTTTCTGAAGAAGTCAGAATCTGACAGGATCCAGCATGAGTCTGACCGGAATTTTCTGCAAGAATGGAGAATTTACATTCTCACCACAATTTGATGGCAAAAGCCTACTTTTTTTAAATTTCCAAATAGCACTATTTAGAAAACAGAAATATTTTTATGAAAATATCTTATGTAACTAAACAAAACCTGTTTATACATAATTGCGAATATTTTACTTTAAAGTTTTTTTTCAATTTGCGCATTGTCTGCTATGATAAAAAAATATTTGGTTTAACACAAATATGGTATGGATAATATTGTGATATTTTAAATGTGATTAATTTGTAAAAGCGTTAAAGTAAAATATTTACGTTTGTAACAAATATGTGATGAGTAAAACAAGATAAAACTATTGTATTTCATTGATAATTCATCTAATAACTATTGTATTGAGCAGAAATGACTTAATTAAATTAAGTCAATAAAAATAACATTCTCAAAACAAAAAATGTAAAATACTTCATTATTCAAGCCACACCTTATCAAGATTATTAAAGTGCATTTAGATAGAAGTGTCTTGTCTTTGGTGTCCACATTATTAGTGCAACATTGAAAAAAAAATACATTAAAATAAATAAATTTGTTCATTTTGTAGCATATTGTTAGTCTTCTTTTAACTTATCCTTCAAAAGTTTCATACTTTCCTCCGCGAACTATAAACTACACAATTCGCCTGCGTGTACTACATAACGTTGAAATTAACGCCATTCGTCGCCGTGTTCGCAGATAGAAATGAAAATGTTCGCGTCCCTAACTAATGTTACCAGGTGGTCTTCAGCACTTCTTAACAAAACTGACAAGCAGCAAAAACAAAAATATATATGGGAAGATTTGAAAATTAAAGATATACGAAATATATTATTCATTGTTATATATATTATACTGTAAACATTTATATTCATAATATAAAAATATTTATAACAACCATGTATATAATAATTTACATACATATATTCACACATTGAATCAGTTATATTTTAAGGATTTTCTCACTGTGTACGAGTTACGAAGGGTAAGAGGGATCTTTGTCTCACTCATAATGAATTACTGAAAAAGAGATAATAATATCTCTTTGTAAAAACTTTTCTTTCATCGAAATCGTTGTTTCCATTATTTGCTTAAATCATTTGAATAATAATTAACTAAAAAAATTAATTAGAAATTTTGAATAAATGTATATAATTTATATAAATTTAAATATATATAACTGCAATAATAAAAGGGAACTATTTTTGGGTTTTGTGATACACGATAGATATTTTAATAATAAAACTGAACGAAAACTCTCAAGTAAATATGCGTTCTAAAACATCCACTAAAGACAAAGAATACGCAAATGTAGGAGGAAAACCCCTTACCTGGCAGCACTGTTCCGAACATCTGAGCTCCGAGCGAATGTGTTCTCTCGGTCTCTGCATTCGGAACGAACATTACGAGCGAACGTTCGCTCGCTTGCTCACTTCTGACAGCCGATCTCGACCGAACGTCACGATTCGCTCGGGAATTCCGTTTCCACCGGCCGAGCAAACGAAGAATTGTTCGTTCGGAAGCGTTCGCTCGCGCAGTGTAAACGCACCAAAACAAGCATCATGCCATCACGGTTTTTGCCGCGCACTGTTTACCGCGTTGTGAACTGTTCCGAAAAGATTAAGGGACGAGGATGCTCGATCCAATTATCGCCAAAAAGTCTTAATCGCTACCAGTTTCCACGCGCAATGGCGAATGTCAGTGGGCGGGAGGGGAAATTCCTGACGATGGATAATCTTAATCCGTGTGTCAAAGAAATAGAATATGTGCTAAGCGGTCCTCTTGTCACTCGAGCAGCAGCTATCGAAAAGGAACTGAAGCAGGTAAGGGCAATTTCCAAACATTTTGTAATCTTAATGTGAATAATAAAATTAATTAACATAAAGCTGAGTTCACCGTGTGCGTTTTTCGTTCAATTTTGCGCATGCGTCTAATGCCAGCAATAGCGCATGCGTTCCGGGCATGCGAGTGCAATACATACTACTACAAATTATGTTTCTAAAAATTAAAAGATGTAGAGTATTACTACTGCGGAAAATATAACAATATAACTTTCTTCTGGATGTTTGTATAATGTAATACATATTTCTAGTACGTCGAGTTTCAAGAACTCCCATGAAGGTAACTGACTCCTGCTATTCCTTCTCGTGTTTGTATAATGTAATACACATTTACACTTTCTAGTACGTCGAGTTTCAAGATCTCCCATGAAGGTAACTGACTCCTGTTATCCCTCCCCATGTTTATATAATGTAATACATGTTAACACTTTCTAGATCGCAGTTTCAAGATCTCCCATGAAGGTAACCTACTCCTGCTATCCCTCTCCGTGGGATCTTGTCAGTCGTCGAAATGCGTTCGCCAAAGCCATCTGAAGGTCAATTGCGCGCCCCTTCGTCCAACAATGCCCCTGTCCTACAATGTTCGTTCGTCAGTTAAGCTCAGGTTTAGTTACGCGCTTAAGAAGAGTGTTCGAAATGTCGAAACGGAAAAACCCTTAATCGAGGTACGTCAAACCGTGCCAGCTAAATCTACTTGCCCGCCTGGAGAGCTAAGGGCACGGACGACTACCCGTGACGCCGCATTTATTTTCTCTTAAAATCCAGAAGGGGTGTACATGCGCAAGCTGGAGCGTTTGCCAGATTTTTTTTCTATCAAATAACCGAGAATTATAGTATGTTTATTTTTTCACTACTTAATACTATTTGATGTTTATTTTCTTACTAAATTCTCATTTATGTAAAAATCATTGCAAAGTGACCGGAATATGTTGGAATGGCAAATTCGTATCTTCGTTTCGTTTTGTGTCGTGCTATTAAATCATTCACTTATTTATTATATTTAACAATAATGTAAAATAAATTAATGTCTCTATAAGTTAACAATTCTTGCTTACGGACGGACAGCTCTTTTAATAGACAAGAATCACTATTAAACCTTTTAACCTGAACATTGAAAGTTCATGCTTTAATATCACTTTTGAGCAAATAGGATTACAAAATCAAGATTCTTTTGATTCAGTTTTTAAATTTTACTCGTAATTAAGAATATCAAATTGGACTGATGTATAATTTAATTTTAATGGATCATTTCTTTGCCTTAAAAAGAAAATAGGAATTAATATAGCTAAATTTGTGACAATAACTGTTCAGTAACTTCTCCCAAAGGCTCATGGGTTAGGTATCCAGTGACTTACCGCCATTCCGTAGCAGATACAACCCTTACTTTTAAATCTCGCGCCGATTTCTCTGGACCCAAGTGCCTGCGAGCTTTAGTAAACTTGGTTTTACTCGCGCCACGACGAGGTCACACGTCACAGAGTTGATACGTACAGATTTATTTACAAGTTTTCTATTCAATAATTACACCCCTGAGGAACTAGTGCTGCACATCCAGCACTGCACATTCATGAGGCATCTTCGCCTAGGCTGACACAGACCCCAGCGCAGCGGTAACCTTAGGGCCGCTCCTGGCCTCCCGTTCCGTGGCGAACAGCCGTACCTCGCAGTCGAGGCTAGCGATAACCCCTGGCGGATGACAAGTGCCTTCCGCACCGCGATTCGGTTCAAACTCGACTGCCGGCCGTTCCTTCGCTAGCCGCTTTTGCGAGGAACCACGTGACCGACCTCCCACGCAGTTGACCCGCGTCGGCGTCACCTCATCAGGGCCCCGCAGCCAGCCGTCTGCTGCATGTCCGTAAAGTTAGCATACCCACTTAATACAAAATTGAAAAACTGTATCCCATAATTTTATTCTAATTAAAAACTAATTTATACCCAAATTAAAAAAATTTCTACTAATGCACAACATCAAAATATTCAAAACTAAATGTGGGTACGCTAACTTAACGTTAAGTTAGCAAACCCACACAAGAAAAACGCATGAAACATAAAAACTAAATGTACCAGAAGTTTGTTCTAATTAAAGACTTTCTTACATTATACTAATTCACACCTTTAGTGTTGAATATTTTGATGTTGCGCATTTTTTCAAAATTTTCAAATTTGGGTATAAATTAGTCTTTAATTAGAACAAAATTATGGGAAACAGTTTTTCAATTTTGTGATAAGTGGGTATTCTAACTTTAGGGACATGTCTACCGCGGCTGACGTCACACATCATCCCCCTAGCTAGCGGCACCCTCGCGTCCCAAGAACACGCCGCGGCGGGCGACACCCGGCGCCTGAAGAAACCCCTCCCTTCGCCTTGGGCGGTCCGATGGCAAATCGCTATGACGTTACACGTGTTACCTCGCCCATGCCTGCCTTCCCACTCCTGCCTTATTATTAAGGCGGCTCCACACATTCGTTATTCGGCGAGTAGCGAGCAACGTCTCGCCGAATCCCGAGTAGTGTGGATGAGTTGCCGGCTATTTGCCTAGTGACGAACAATCGGTGCTTGCCCTACCCACCTGCTGTCTTTTTAAGACTCATCAAAGGAAGCGAGCATTCGCCGACATCAGCTGTTCGGGTTTGGGCGAGCAGTAGCTCGCTGCACGGCGAATGCCGAATGTTTGGAACTGCCTTTACAAAAAAAGCAATTTTAATTGCATGTTCCTATTCACAATGTGTGGTACAAATGATAAAAACATTTTTTTAATTATTTCATGTTTGGAAAGGAAGAAATCGCTTTAAAAAGTTAAAAATTGCCTATATTTCACGCAAAATTACGCGAAACGTACAGAAATTTCCGAAAAACCATATATAACCTTAATTCAAAATCTGTCTTTAAAGAACAGATTTTATCATCAAACAAATTTATATTTTCAATATTTTAGCTGTAGGAAGACGTCGAAAATTTTTTGAATTTTTGTAATTTTTGTAATTTTTGAAAGATCAGGGATTTCAACCAAAATGAAACCTGCACCATTCTCTTAAGCGTCAATTGTGCTATCTGATGGCGAAATATAATAAAAATATTTCGTGCCATTTCCATGTCCGAGGGGCTTCATGTCCGAGGAGCTTCATTCATTCTACCATCTAAAATTAAATTGTGCGTTTCAAAATCAAGGGGCCGCGACGTCAGTCAGATAGATTGGGGAATATCAATTTTGGTGAAAATCCTACTTACGGTTTTGTCTCGAGTGTTGTTGAGGGACGGAAAGGCGTTTTGCCGTCAATCGATTTTTCGGTATCAAGGACCCACAAAACATGGATTCTAACTACACAACGCGTTAGATGAAGTAATTTACAGTAGATAGGGACACAATTTATGCACTTCTTTGTTACCAGGACCCGGGAAAAGAGGTTTTCTGACAAAAATTCGCAGTTGTTTCCCGGAGCATAATAATACTCCCTCTCTCTCCCTCTATTGTGTAAGCAGTAGCGATATAATTAAAAATGACGTCGAACTATTCAAGAAGGCATTTAAAAAGTAAAAATTAATTTCGAATATACATTTAGACTTTCGATTTGAAATGACGTGAACAACAAATGTTACGAAAAGTGACGGATAATTCGAACAACTAAATGCGTGTTCGAAATTATTTCTTTCAAGAACTTTTTATTTTTATTTTTTCAAAGTCTGTTTTATTTTTTTTATTAACTTGCAATTTTCAGTGGCTTAGTTCGAAAAAGAATTGTTTCAAAGCCGCGCTTCAGCTCTTAAAAGGAAATTTTTACTTTTCAATTTCACGCCACTTTATTTTTCTCACTGCTTTTTTTTTAATTCAAAAGTTTGATTGAAAATAGCACTTGTGTTATATAAGAAACATTGTTCTCTACTTGTAAAACGAGTTAAAATTTTTAAAAACGGAATAATTTTTGAAAAAAAGGTATTACGTTTGGAAATTTGACACATTTTAATTTAAAATTAGACGAAAACTTATTTTTCGAACGAGACATATATCTTTACCTTTCACAAAGAACTTTCCTTTTTTTATTCATTAAGTTCATGGTTTTATTCTAGCAGGGTTTGCACGAATGTTCAACTAGCCAGGGAGCAGGGGAAGGCTCTCAATGCATAACTGTCACGAGGAGTTGAAGCTTTTTATTTAAAACTACAGCTCATCATTTATATTGAAATTTGAATTGAAAATCGATTTGATTGCACATGAAAAACAGATATTTGACAGTTGTGAGTTACCTGTTCTATTTCAAGGATAACTAATATGGCCTCTTAACCCTAGAAATCTTAAGGGGGGTCGTTGAAACCACATGTATTGATTTTACTCATAAATATCTCAAATTATTTTCGTAGGGTTCATTATTGTTGAGTTATCGTCAACAGGGCGTCGTGTGACATTTTGCTATTTTCATTGTCATTTGTAAGTTATTGCAATTTAGCAACTTAAGAACTTATTGCTTTGGATTCACCAAATTCCCATTTCGGAGTCCACAGTACCAAATATTTATTACGAAGTGTTATGTCAGGTAGAAAACTGGCCTACCACAGGAAATGTTTAATTCTATTTGTAGTATTCTAGACATGAATACCAAGAATATGAATCTCAAGATCAGCTTCCTTTTGCCAAAAGCAGGTGCTAAATTTTGCACTCCCGAAGAAACAAAAAACTATCTGAACGAACCAAAACTATATTGTTTACAGTGTAATAAATAAGTAAAGACAAGATCACAGTATAACTACATATTTTCTTTGCTAACTTGAATTTTGATGAAATCTTAACAGAAATATGAATTATGAGACGCACGTTCTTTTAGTACTCGTTTAATTTGCACGAAAGTGCACTGAGGGAGGGACTGTATAAAGTGCACGTTTTGGGTATTATTGCCTTTTAACTGCACATTTTATGATTTTACTGAAAGTTTTTGAAGGATTCGGTTTTATTGCATAAAATAAAGACCTGATATTATCAACTTGTTTTAATTTTACCTACTTTAAGGATTTTATTTAACGAAAAAGTTTTTATGACAACCCGGCAGTGCAGGGTTTGGGAGATCTGTGAAACCTCAGTGCCATTCAATTCTGCATTTTGTAGCCTTATGAACTGAGCGCCTAGACCTTTCATGATGCCTATTGTCTAATGAAAATGTCTGAGGGATTGGATACGCGGTGTTGCTACGAACTCGGTCCGCGGCCCTTGGTTACCGTCGCTCTGCCAATGTGCAGGGTCTATCTTCTCAATCGGATATATAATACGATTGAGAAGATAGACCCGGAACATTGGCCGAGAAAATCCGTTTGGTCAGTCTTCGCTGAACTTACCAAGAGACTGCATTGCATGAGTCACTTTTGACCTTGCGTCTTGACGTGAAGCTTGGGAGCAAGCTGTATTGCGTTTCAAATTCATGGAATTTCTCGGAACTGCGCTGCGAGATACGAGAGAGAGAATGAACGTTGTTGTCGATCGCTTTTAGCTTGACTGCACATGCAGGTCTAAGTGAAGCTTGGTACAGAGAGCGTGAACATGGAAAGGCGAAAAATATTTGAAATGTCCAAATATAATTTGTTTAAATAATATGTATAAACTTAATAATTGTAATAAAATAATAAAATCGTAATATTTCATTTACTTTAAATTTCACATCCGAATTGTAAAATAAGTGCATTAACTGGAGTTTCAGGCTGCATAAGACCATTTTGAAAAATTGTTATTTTTATTGCATGTTTTTGAACGCTTTGACGTTTTTACTGCATGTTTTACAGAATTTTCTTGCACGAAAATCCGGTCTTTAGTAATAAGAATGTTTGTAATAGGCCTTCAGAAAGAATTGTGATGTGTCCAGTGCACTGAAACGGATTACTGAATAATTGTTGTCTAATTCATTCAAAACATTGTTTATATTAAATATTTTTGAATACATTTTATACAGTTTTTCATTTTTACTAATAATATTAAAATTACCATCTTCAATTGTATCTAATAAATAATAAAATTATCATTATTCATAATAAGAATAGTGTCATTGCAATGGATTAAGCGAGCCCCCCGGCGGAATGGAAGTTACAAAAAAATACTCAGGAGTCCTGGGGTTAAAGAGGGACATATGATAAGGATATTCTAAAGAAAATGGAGAGAAAATATCCGCCACTCAGAGAGAGGGAGGTAGGGAGAAAGAAAGGGGGAGAAAGGGGGAGAAAGGGGGAGAAAGGGGGAGAAAGGGGGAGAAAGGGGGAGAAAG